AGCCCTTGGGGTTCATTCTCAGACGCCACTGTGTATTATTACGTCACCATCAGGTAAAGAGAATCGGGAATTATCCTTATTTTACAAAAGATACAATTGAGAGGGCCTATAGAGCCCTGGTGTGGCGCTGTGGGTTAATGCGTCAGACTGCAAAGCTGTTGGAACCGCAAGGTCGGCAGTTCAAGCTCACCAGCTGCTCCTTGGAAACTCTATATGGGGTCGCTATGGGTCGGAAGCGACTCGATGACACTTCACAACAACAACACAGTTTGCCCATATTGGACAATTGGCAGACTGAAAGAAATTCAGGCCTTTTGTTTCCAGGTCATTTCACCTTTCAAACCACCCCACCAGTTAAACTCAGGCACAAGGCACTCAACACAACTCAGCAGCATCCAGCCTGCTTTAAAACTCAAGACCCCTTTGAGATCCACTTCCTGCCTTTAGCTTACTGAGTGGGGGCTTTCTGCCACTATCTTTTACCTGTCATGTTTCCATGTTTTCACCTGTAACTAGAAGCCAGGCCCTCCTACCAACATCTGACAGTTTATTTCTGGGCTGGTTAACGACAGACAAGGATCGGAACGGCTGTTTCTCACGGGCACCCTAGCAATTACTCAGAAGACAACACTAGCCAGTTAGAACAGGAATAGCCTACCCACTTTCTCATGGCACGTGCCAACAAGTGCAGACTGCTGGGGACTGAGCCCTTGGTCTCTGCGGTAGTAACTGGCCCTACTGGAGTGTCTCCTCACACACTGGCACACAGCTGACGTGGAGACAAGTGCTGCCTGGCCACCTCCCTAGGGTAGAGAGCGGCAAAGTCAGCTGCCCGAGATGGCACAGCTGGAAACGTGCAGAGCTCGGTTTTCACACCCAGCTTCTCTGGGCTCTACAAGCACAGGGTTCGAGCACTGTTCAGGCATTGCTCAACTGATTAATCATCATCCTGAATATAACTGGTGGTCGGATTTCAGGTAGTGACGTTTTGCTTTTCATCTAAGAATTCCTTTTAACAAATATGAGGTTAACTAAGAGCTGTTGTGTGCTGACATTGAGCCGACCCCACATACCCCACACACAACTGCACCATGGGGCTTTCTCAGCTGTCATCTATGGAAGCAAGTCTCTAGGTCTTTCTTCATCGTAAGTGATGGAAAAAGCTCAAGGAAGGGGGAACTGGGCACTGATAGTACATTATGATCTTAGGGCTGCTATGTTCAGTATTTTAAAACATTTCTTCAAATAAAGTGATTTGCAACTATGAAATAATCACTGTATCTAGCAGAATCTAAATTTTACCAAAGGGAGGCAAAATAAAAACAAGATTTACTTAACAGAAATGTTCATAAAAAACAGGTAGAATTCATTAAGCTAGGTGATATTAGAAAATGATAAAATCGAAGTCACATCTTTTATATGGCATTTAAAAAGAGTACTTAAAAATCTTCAGAAAATGTTTCCTATTCATTATAGCAATTATATATTCTATTACAAAAATACTATTCTTGTCTCCAAACTTAAATATTAGCTTCAACATAGAAACAAACAAAACATCTTCCCAAGGTGCAAAATCCTATCCATGAAACCCAAATCAAACCCAAATAGGTACCAAAATCCTCCCGCTAAATGTCTACTGTTCTTATCATAACTAGACTTTAGATAAGGAATGTAAGAAGGAAAGGCAAACAGTATTCATTCATCAGGGAGCATGAAAGAAAAATCTTCATATGTTTCTGAAATCACAGAGAATTTAAGGGAAAGGGGGGAGCATCAGCCAATGAATCCATGTCATACTTCTGTCTCCTCTCTGTCCCCAACCTGCCCTGGGTTTCACCTGAGGCAGGAGCTCACACCAGTTGTGGTACGCTCTTGGGAGTGAACACTCTGATAGGCTTTGTGGCTCTTTGAAAATCTCGGAAAGTCACTTCTCTCCCTTTCTGGTTGGGAGTACACTAAGCTTCCTTTTCCATGTGACTTTACTGAAGAAAAGGACAGAGAACATGTGGCAAGAAGACTTCAGACCCTCAAGTTTCTTTGTCTGTTTGAAGCTACAGACTTTATGCACTAGTTCTGAAACACCACTCAGTAATTACTCATTGTTCCAGAAGTGGATGTAGTTCAATGACTACTATACATGCAATCTGACAAAACCCCCATCAACACAAGGTGTTGTGGGGATTCTAGTCTGCTCTTCCTTACACATCAGTCACCACTACACATGTTGGTGGAATCACTCCACAGCCCTTCGAGGGGCTTCTGGAGGGTAAGCACTGCCTGGCACACACACAAACGGGGCTTAATTGTTAAGAGGCAGTATTACCAAAACCCAGACCACTGCTGTCAAATCGATTGCCACTCGCAGTGACCCTGTAGGACGGGAGAACTATCCCAGGGTCCCCAAGGCTGTCATCTTGTTCTACCAGTTCAGCCAGGGTAGGGTGAGGGCTAACCTGCCAGTCTCTTGGTTAGCTGTCAGATGCTTAACCAGTGTGCCACCAGGATTACATCCTCACAGGACAGGTTAAACATTTAGTAAAAGTAACTGACAAAAGGAAGTAACCACTTTATAGTATTATGAAAAAGTTAGATCATTTCCTCCCATGGAGAGACCTACTTGAGAAAGACAATTTAAGCTGATGTGGGAATCCTTTAAAGCTCCAGAGTCAGTTATTTAAATGGTTAGTTCAACAAGGTACTGTATGAAATTCACAAACCTAAAGCATCCAATTCAACCCTGTGAACTCAAAAGTATTTAAAATCAAGACAACACAGCTCATTTGCTATCATGGAAGTGTCAAACTTTTAAAAAGAAAAATATATTTCATAAAAGTAATTGATTTTAGTAAAAACACACAAGGGCTTGAGTTTCAAGAAAAAAGCAGTCTGGTTCCTGTTTCAGTTAGGTCTATGGGATTAGGAAAAACGTAGTTCTCCTTCACTGGGAGACTGGACCTAAAGCTAAACTAATATTAAACAGAAAACCAAAGAGAAAGGGAAGCTACCAGGCAGTGGATTCACACTGTGGGAACTGGGCCTGCGGGGTGTTTTGGTCTGAAGGGAGGAGAAGTACTATGCAGCCCTCCACAGAACCACCGGCGTCAGGGGAAGGCTTGGTCAGGTCCCGAGCAGCTCGAGAGCTCACCAACACGTCCGGCAGAAGGGAGGTGAGGAGATGGGCAGTCGGTAGGGCCTGGGGCAGGGTGATGTTGGGATTAACAGAGGAAGAAGACAGGCAGGCCGACGGGAAAATCAGAACCTTCTAAGCATTCCACAGAGCACGTGTACTTTGTAAAACGTATTAACTAAATATGTTAAATTAGCTAAATATGAATAAATAAAAACTCCACCTAAATAGCAACTATTAATCATATTTTTGGAGTCCTGGTGAGGTGCTGTGCTTTAATGCACTGGAATGCAAAGTCAGTTTGAATCACAAGGTTGGCAGTTCAAGTTCACTAGCTGCTCCTCGGAAACCCTATACAGGGTTGCTATCGCTATGGGTTGGAACCGACTCGATGGCACTTCACAACACCAGCAGCAATCATACGTTGAGTGTCACAGGGGGATTTACAACACTCACTTTGAGGTTTTTCATGTCATACATTCTTATATCCCTTTCTTATTGCTTTTTAAAATATAAGAAATGTTCTAACTTCTAAGATGGCAGTTTCAGGAACTACCCACATGAAGGGTAAAAGGCATGGTACAATGTTTACAGAGTGTGACGGGAAGTCTCATCTGGGCACCCGGAGGGAGGACTCAACAACGAAACCAGCCTGGGTTTGCAGAGGGCACTAACACTGACACTGTGACTACAAGTCCCCGGGGGCGGGCGACGGTGTCACGAAGAGGATGCCAGCCGCCTCTGAGTCCCAGTGACAACACGCTGAGTGCCTGCTGTGGCTCTGACACAGAATCACTACAAGAGGGTGAGAACAAATAACTTCGTACTGTGTGGGGCCAGCATCCTTTCAGACTCAGTATAGTCTCACAGAGCGAAGAACACACAAGGCCAGATGTCTTATGAGACACACCAACAAAGCATTTACTCAAACAGGTGGAGGTGGAGGTGGAGGTGGTGTGCCGTGGAGTCGGTTCTGACTCCGTGACCCTGCACAGGGCTTCCGAGGCTATAAATCTTTGAGGGAGCAGCCAGACTCATAACTACTACGCTATCAGAACTCCTTTGCTCAAATAGGTATACAGTAATAATACATTGTTTTAGAAATCCATTTCCTGGCTGCCTGGCAACCATTTATCTAAAAGAACACCAGACAAACCTAAAGGTTCACACAGATTTCTGGGAGTTTTTTTCTGGCGGGGAGTGGGACAATGGATTTGCAAGGAAATTCGACTTTCATCCACATTAAGACATCTTTAATATATATAAAGAAGCATTCTCTAATGGGAACTCCAGTCTCCAACATCCTCTGCACTGAAACCCCAACGGAGGACCGCTGACTTTTGCCAAACACACCCTTCCCCACCTGTAGCCATCACTTACCAAAAGCAATTCAGACTATTGCTTTTAGGGAAAAAAGGGCACCCAAGTTCTCCAGGTGGGAGTACAAAGAGACAGTTACTGAAAGAAGCAGCAGACAGGAGCTTTGGTCCCACCAGGCCTGTCTCCATCAGACGCTGCCTCCTTGGGCCCCATGTCTCTCTGCGGTCCCCAGTCAACACCCTCCCTTGGAGCTCATTATGTGGAGGTCCACCACAAAGACTGTACCAGAAAAGGTTTGTCGAGGAAACACTATTTAGTAGAATCAAGTAAACAAAACAAACTCGCAGCAAGAAGGTGTCAGGCACGTCAGGGTCTTCGAGAGACACTAGGATGCAGCACCCAGTCTGACTTCTGGGTGAGGAAAACGTGACATCCCATCTTTAAAGAAAACCAGATATTTCTGGTGTACCTCTTTATGAAAAAAAAGCCCTATTCAATCTAACCAATGTGTGAGCACACATGTTAGTCTTCCTGGGCCCTGCCCACCAGCCCCCCCACTCACTGAGTGGCTTCAATGGACAGGAAACGCACCGTAGCCCCCGGCCTGGATAGGGGTTTTTGGAGAAGCGCAAGCATACAGACTAAAATCCTCCGTCTGGAAGCCAGCCCGATTCAAGGAGGGTTCAGATGCACTGCGGTGAATTTTTGGCAAGGAGCGGGCCAGCAGCTCAATAGAAGCCAGGATCTGAAAAACAAGACAAACGAAAATATATGTGAATCTGTGGTGGCATGAATCTGTAAGAGTCTTTTATCTCTCATCCCATACATGTTATGAAAAAGCGCCCAGCATGTGACGTTTTAAAAAGTATTATCTTTAATGCCTGGGAAAATATTAGAAGAAAACAATGCTTTGGTTCACACGTAGACCATCTGCAGCGGTGGGACCGGGAGGTATGACATTTACATCCAATTCTGCACCCTGTGTCCAGTCCTTAAGTCCCTTGTGGAGGAAGCTGGGGTGGGAGTGGAGGCTACAGCGATCCCTGAAGAGCCAGCAGAGTGACTTGTTCCTTGAAAGGAACTTAGTGGTGGGGGCACAGGAGGGAGAGCAGAAGATGGCACCCACTCAGGTACACATGTTGGCTCTGTGGAGGCTGAGGCACAAAAACACCTGGCTGTACAGGTGTGTACAGATGTGTACACAGCCATTGGAACTCTGTCATTACCATATTGGCCTGAACAACCACGGCCTCTGACAGAAGAGTTACACTACAGTCAGATGTATATAAGGTGGCAAAGGAAGCCTCACACAACTTGTTTTTTGATGCCATGTAATGAATGAGGTGTTAGTTATATTTAGAAAATGAGCATCTCGCCTTTTTTACTGTCATTTCAGAATCATGCCTCAGAACATAATTGCGTCATTAATACCACCAACCATGCAGGGGGCCTGGTGTGGCACTATGGGATCAGCACTGGACTCCTAACCATAAGGTCGGCAGTTCAAACCCAGCAGTGTCTTCTCGGAAACCCCATACAAGGTTACTGTGAGTTGGAATCACGTCGACTCCCAGTGAGAATCGGGGCGGGCGGGGGGATTGGCATGAGGAGGGAGAGCCTGGCAGCGGTCCTGCGGACAGCTCATCTCTCACTTGGGGTGTCTGCAATCAGTGGTCTTCATGTTTTAAAAAACAAAACAATACACATTTCCCTCAGAGAATCCCAACATGTATCCGCCTCCTGTGAGTTAGCCGGGAGATTTGTGAGCCCTTTCACAATGGAACCGTTTTCTGCTTTGAGTTTCTGTTGGTACTGCCATAGAAAGTATGCTGCAATCAAGGGGAAAATTCTTTCTGAGGGTCTGTGTGTCTACATGAGGCCCATTTCTTCAGATTCATGTGGTAACAGGTCTCCACCAGGTGGCAGCATGCACTAACCTAGGGTAAAAGCTTCCCCTGAGACCTGTTGCTGTCAGGGGCCATTGAAGTACAGTCTGTCCTGTCCTGTGTAAGCCTCCTCACGCTGCCACCACGTCAATCCATCTTGCTGAAGGTTTTCTTCTTCTTCACTGAACCTCGACTTTACCTAGCATGATGTCCTTCTCAGGGACTGGCTCCTCGTGACATGTCCAAAGTACAAGAGATGAAGTCTCAAGACCTTCACTTCTAAGGGGCACTTTGCCTGCACTTCTTCCAAGACAAATCTGTCAGTTCTTCTGGCAGTCCATGGTGCTTTCAATGGGAACCAGAGACGAAAAGTGTTGGTGGGTGACAAAGGGGCTCAAATCATGGAATCCACCTTCTATCAGGTTCCTCCCTGCAGCTTGGGCTGTGTGGTCAGAGGCACCAGGCTCAGGCGGCGCAGCCCTGAGAAACGGGAGAAGGGTTTGGGGCCCACGGCCGTGTGTGTACGGTGCTCTCAGCAACTTCCTCAGACTCCAAAATTCTGTCCTTTTGGCACAACCTACACCACAGCCATGGTGCTGTGGGCTAATGAGTCAGACTGCAAAGTCGTTTGAACTGCAAGGTCGGTGGTTCAAGCTCACTAGCTGTTCCTTGGAAACCCTATACAGACAGGGTCACTACGGGTCGAAATCGACTCGCCGGCACTTCACCACCACCACTACCACCACGATGACGACACTTTTTAGGCTGGGCAGCGAATGATGCTCTTCAGCTCAGACTCCCAGTGAACAGCTGAGAGCAATGGGAACCACCAAGGACAGAGGTGGCCCTGTGCCTGCACACTGCCTATTGGTTCTTCCTTCCCCAGGGGTCCCGTGAAGGGGGTATGTGGAACTGACACATCACCCTCAGGAAGAGTCAAGTAGGGTCTGTGGTCCTCCACAGGGCACAGCGTTCCTGAGAAGTGTAGGCCATACTGACTCTTGTTACTTTAGAAATGTGAGGTGTGAGGAGGAAGGCTATTATCAGGTGAGAACTTACACACAGTAACAGCAGAGCGAGGACCAGCTGTCTTCTGAAGTCAGGCAGTAGAGAGACCAGCAAGAATGTGAAACAACGCTCCTATTATTATTTTTTGTTTGTTTTGGGAAATATAATTATTTTTCAAGAAAATGGTTTTATTTTTATGTTTAAATTGTCATAAAGAACTATTTTTAAAGCTTCTCAATTTTAATTTTGGGTTTGGTAATTCATAAAAACTCTCTGGGATCTTCCCTGCTTTTTAAGAATATAAAGGGGTTCAAAGACTAAAAAGTTTGATAACTGCAGGACAGAACAAAGCTGCTCTGAGCAGCTTGCATTGGGACCCCGATTTCCTGGGTGCCTGCACATGGAAACCCACTCACAAGTGACAAACCACCCAAAGAGGTCCTTGAAGTCCTACCCCTGGAGTCATGGGCCATGTAAAGTCCGTGCTTACCTGGGGGAAGAGCGGCCTCTCTTCCCGTTTCTTTTTCAAGCACTCAGCCATCAGTCTCTTCATGGCTTTGGGACAGTTACTCCGCACCTTACTCAGGTCTGGAGACAGGTATCCTCGTCCCACCATGAAAATGATCTGGGAAGAAAAAAACCCCAACAAAGTCACACAACCTGAGGAAGGGGGACAATACCAAAACACGACAAATGGGCAGGCTGGATCCCAGGGACACGCACCTGGTTCAAAGGACAAGGGCACTCACTAAGAGCGGAGGCCAACCACCAGGGTGGTACCTGAGGCCTTTAAGCCAAAGACTGGTACCATGGTTAGCAGGCTGTCTTCCTGACCCCTAGCCAGTCCTCTTCCCAATGGCAGGCTGGTCATCCACACATATACCCTCTATGCCATGTCTCTAAATGACGACGTAGCAGCGTGCTGGGTGGGCACTGTGCTAAGCCCCTCCTCCCTATAGCAGTAGCAGGAACCACAGGTGTTGGCCATTTTTTTAGCAGGTGATTTTAGTTTCTGCTCTGGAAATGCCAACAGAGCACTGGGTAATGCAAACACGAGTAAAGTCTCTCCCAGAGGACAGAGGGGAATTATCAGGCGCTAACAGCTTGGCGAAACCTGTCCTCATGGATGAAATACTGGTGGCATGGTCCCCAGCATCTCCTCAACCCATCAGCCACCACAGTAGGATGCCCTGGCAGATGGGCACTGGACTCCCTCCCATCTCAGCACGTCCCACCTGCAGTCTTCAAAACTGGGCATGGGGAGCCTTTCCAGCAGGCTAAGAGGCATACAGAGGTGGGAGTTTTCATTTCTCCCATTTCCAACAACTGCCTGCCTGCGGACCGTTCCCTCCTGACACCAGGGCCCTTCCTTTACCACATGGAACCGAGCACACACTGCTATCTAACCGGGCAATACATCCCTTTGTAAACCAGCTAGTTTCCAGTCCTTTGCTCTTTTTCATGACCAGTTACCATGCGATTCTTGGTCTGAGCAAGCCGGTGAGGGCTCACAGTGGTCTGGCCTTTGGTGACTGCTGATGAGCCAGGGGGCTTGGGGCTGCCACACAGTAAAATCAAATGTGACAGTGGGGGATTTGGGCCACTCATATCAAGTCAACAATGGGTTTGGTCAACTATGTCTCTATCATTGTAGTTAAGTATCATCAAGTTGGTTCTGACCCATAGCAACACTGTATAGCGTTTTCAAGGAGCAGCTGATGAGTTTGGAATGCCGACAATAACCAAAGAACTTGACACATCATAGAAGTGTGGTCCTGTAGCATAAGAACTGGACTGCTAACTGCAAGGTGGCCCTCGTCAGAAACCCTACACATGGTTGCTCTGAGTCAGAACTGACTCGACAGCACTTAACAAGATTCCTGGGAAGGGGCCCTGGTGATGTGTGGTAACTGTTGGACTGCTAACCACAAGGTCAGTGGTTCAAACCCACAATGCACCATGGGAGAACGATGAGGCTAGCTGTTCCCTAAGAGTTACAGTATGGGAACTCTAAAGAGCAGTTCTAATCTGTCCTGTAAGGTCCCCATGGGTGAGAGGTGAGGGCAGCAGGATTGGTTCATTTGGAAGGCCTGTGGGTGGCAATAACAGTAAACATATAACTAATAGCCAAAAGACTGGTAGTCTGAACCCACCCAGAGGTGTCTGGGAAGACACACCTGGTAATCTGCTTCTGGAAGTTCACAGCCCTGATAACCCTCTGGAGCCCT